TGTTAGAGTCAATCCCATTATTACATCTACACTGAAATAAGACAGACATGGACAGTGGGAAGCCATAACGGACACTACTGGTTGTCATAGCTTCAGATGACAACCCTTCATGAATTCAAGTGGTCTCTCTATTAGTGCTATATATATATATATATATATATATATATATATATATATATATATATATATATATATATATATATATATATATATATATCATTCTCTGGGATGCAGTTAAATACTACTGACGCGATCCCGGTAGGATGGAACGTGCTAGCCCCACACAAGAGATCCAACCCAGGACCTTCACGTCACGGGTAGAACCCATTGACTATTCCCGGGCGACAACTGATACCTTGCCGTGGTGGTCGGGCTTGAATACCGCAGTGAGCCAACAAGCTAAACTAGCTGGGACTCATCTCCCTGCAGGTCCTACCATGTCAGGAAGGTTGTTTGGATAGTGGTTAGACTAAAAGTAGTTACCATGGGGTACATGGGCTCCAGAATCCAATTGGATCAAATGGAGTATGAACCAATATGGGTCACAGGAAACCATGGGAATGCAGCTCCTGAGGCTGCTCTGCTGCCTTGCGGATTAGACTCCAAATCAAAGGCTTGCGGGGGCGGTCCCCTAATAAAACCACCTGCTTCGGTCTGGGCGCCCGGGCAGTATCTCAGCCCTCACACAATGTGTGGCGCATCTTCCTTGGTGCCATACTGTACCAAGTTTTTTTCTGTGTTTGAATAAATAATAATAAAACATTGACTATTCAACCATTGAGGTGGAACTAAATGACCCTGAGAGTTCTATGTTCATTCCCCGGTAAGGTGATGCGTACATGTTGATGAGGGGTCTCAGACTGCGACGAAATGACTGTCCAGCACTCCATAGTTTTCAATAGTTCTCTAACTGATGTCAATCAGTCAACTAAATTGAACAGATGGTTTGTCCTTAACTAAGTCTAATTTAGGAGGAAAATTCCAGGCAATATTGGTTAAGCCGAAGAAATAGTTATATTTATTGACTATAATTACTAAGTGATTGTATAGGCAAAAAAGTATTAGTTGGAAATACACAGGTCAATAAATTATTTCACACAAAAATGGGTGTGTATATAGTTTGAGACAGTCTATTGATTAGGCAGAATTTACGTCAGTTTATGAATCACTAACTCTTAAGATAATTGAATTCCCTTTTACTTGTGACTAAGTAGAGTGTGATATAATTTGGCCTTTGTTTTCACCTACAACAACAAAATGAAGATTACGTCACCACCTATTAACTATACAAATGTAATTATTATTCTATTATTTTTCCCTTGGGTTCCTAGTGGAACATATGGCTTCAACTGCACGTCTGTCTTCTGCTGTACTTTTCACCTGCATCCATATCACTCCATACTCTTTCAACTCCTCTTCACACGATCTCCTCCAAGTCACCCTTGCATTGACGATCCACTCGCCGCTTTCCTTTCGGCCTGGTTCCACGCAAGCGATGGCCTGACACTCGCGCGATGTCACCCAGCGGCCTCCTTAGCAAGTGTCCAATCCACCCCCACTTTCTCCTGCACATTTGTTAGGCGATATGTTCTTGTTTTGTTTGTTTCCATAGTTTCTTGTTGGTGATTCTTTCCGGCCCGGCCATCTGATTGATCTTCAGTATAGAGCAAAGACAGTTGTTGTTGATAAAGGTCTGCAACAGGCTATTGGAAATATTCTTTGTAACCCATCCGCCAAGTTTCTGATCCGTATAGAAGAACTGACTGACTTGACGTTGTTTGTATTGGAAATCCTACCGAATTTTGTTGTTGATGCTGAGTTGAGTGGCTAAGATTTCCAGATTGGTCTCAGGTTGATGAATGTGTTTCTCGCCTTCCCGATTCTCTCTCGATTTGACATCCTCGTCCGTTTTGACTCCGTGTAGATGAGAAAATGCTCCCTAGATAGGCGAATGAAGTAACCTCTTTCAAATCCCGCCCGCTGATGGTGATTGGCGCACAAATGTAATAGTCACTAAAAATTCCATGTATTTTTTGTTTGAAACCGATGATAGACTACGAAATGGAATAAAGTCATTTCTATGCATTAACTATTATTATTAATACTTTTATTACCATCATTATTCCCATCAGCCACATTTTATTACCGCTCTATTACTGTTTATTAATAACATTGCTTTTTCATACAGACAGATTCTATACAAAAACACTTTATCGCCTTCCACTAGTTCCTGTCCACTCTACACGAGCTTTTATTGATTAGTCATTATCTCACACTTATTACGTCATGATAACTTATGTCTCTTTTCTAACTTACAATTGGTCAGCCCTTCCAGATTACACCTTACATTATGTAATACAAATTTTCAAGGATAAAGTTTACCAGTATGTGATTGGTCTAAAGATTTCTTTGTTAAATATAATTACGATTGTACAGCAGCTCATGAAAATGAATCATCAAAAAGCGAAAATTTTCTTCGTTGTTTGTGCTTTTTTCTTATAAAAATCAAATATAGACAAAGCTAGGTTTAGCAGTGCAAGGCAAGTAGGTATCTATTAAAGTTAGTTAGTGGATGGTCCATGAATAGCAGTGGAATTCCGAATGCGCATTTCATCGTAAGTAGGACTCGTCATCTAGGTGTATCTGCATTAGCCAGCGAAACGGTCGTGTTCCCGCTGAGATTCGGACCCAGTACCCATCGTTTCAAACGGCAAGGCGTTATCTACCAGACTAATTGGGCCACGAGAACCACCTCTTGTGCAACGGATGCCAGTCACCAATTGTTTCTAATTCAATTTTGATACTCCCATCGAATGATTGGACAGAAATGTTTAGCCTCTGTTGATATGTATATATAATAACTGAAACCCGTTGTACGCGAGGTGGCTCTCATCGTCCAGCTGGTCCAGTAGGTAATACTTTGTCGTTTGAACTTAGGGGCATTGGGTTCGAGTCTCAGTGGAAACACCATCACTTACTGGGGACAGCCGGCACACCCAACTTATGGGACCCAGATAGGATGAAATGCACATCCTGGATTCCACTGCTAGTCACCCTCCCCCCCCCACACACACACCAAATTACTTCAAGTTAATCCTCAGACATCATCGAAGCATCCACACAAGGAGCCGACATATCAATCTGGGGGCCAAACATTTCGGTCCAAGCTCCAATCAAGGAGAGAATCAAAATTGAATTAAAAACAGGTATCTATGATATTCTAAAATCTGTATGGAGGAGACCTGATATACTTAGCACAGAGAACAAGATCCAAATTTTTTAACACTAATGTGAAGTCAGTGCTTTTGTATGCCCCACAAACTTTCTTCTGTACGCATCACGAAAAGCTTCTCCAACAGCCTGTTTCAAACTTTCATCAGCACCTGAAGAAAATATATCTAATCAGAAAGGATAAGCAACAAGGAACTCTCGCAGCCAGAGAACCAGCCAACAATCTATTGTTCAACAAACGTGTCGAAGGAAATGTAGATTAAATGGGCATATGCAGAAGAGAGGTCACATCTTAGGCCATCGAGTAGGACTTGAATGAAGAATGTCCCATGGTAACGTGAAAAGAACATATGGGCAGTGGTGAAGCCAGGTTAATTTGATGGGAGAGAACCGAGTGCAAGGAAGATGTGCTTCTGAAGCCGCATATTCCACTCGCAGAGCAAGAAATGACTAACAATATCATAATAAGCCACTGTGACCCGATCCAATGGCCCATGAATTCTAACTTTTGCCAATTCACGACATATCTTGACCACTAGCCAATGTCTTCAGCAAGTATTTGTCCTCATACCCGACCTGCTGCACCCTACTGGTCACGACTTCTCACTTGAACCCCAGGTAACTACCTACCTGAATAGGGCAAGTCGCTAGTGAGCATCTCATCGATTTCAAGTGTTGGTTTGCAAGGATTTGATTGGTTACAGGATTTCATCATGGGCTGACGTTGGTTAGAGAGAAGTCGTGACTAGTAGGGTGCAGCAGGTCAGGTGTGAGGACATTGGCTAGGGGTCGCGCTATGTGGTGAATTGGTAGAATTTAGAATTCATGGGCCATTGGATCGGGTCCCAGCGGCTTAGTGGTATACGAGCTCACCTTGTAACCAGAAGGTCCTGGGTTCAAACCCCAGTGGGTGCGTACTGATGAAGAGTCCCAAACTAGGACGAAACAGTTGCCCAGTACTCCCAGCTGGTTTTCCAATGGTTCTCTAACTAATGTCAGCTCATGATGAAATCCTCTAACCAATCAAATCCCTACAAACCAACACTTGAATATCATAATAATGTCAGTTAAAAAAATAGATAAAACAAAAAAGTACTGAGCAGCCAGTTTCAAATAGTGTGGAACATTTTAGTAGTACACAATCATAATCTCACGGCATATAAAAAATCTAAAAGTGTCAAAATTTGAAGTGTGCGCTTTATTGTTCAAGTCAAAATACAGAATTCAGCAGTTCATGATTTTCAAACTCTGTTAGTCATCAAAAGGGATTGGTCAATTCCGCTTTTCATAGCTTCTCATCAAGAATTCAGTAAACCTATCTACCGGCCAATCGGTGGGTTGAAGCGTTTAATCACTAAGCTTGTGCAAACTCAATCACATTAGTTTAAAAGACTAGCTAATGTATTCAAACCTTTTCTTTCATTTCCTTGCATCCTGAGTAGGACACAGGACTTCAGACTTGAATTTTGATTTTTCAGTAACGGTGGTGTATTTTTTTATAGGATGGTGTTGTCAGCCTCACATGTAATCTTCCCCCAGTCTACCGGAAACACTACCGACCAAGCAAGATTTAGGAGTGCACCCGTCAGAGATCGAACCCAGACAACGTGCGTGGTTGGCGAGCGTTGAATCTACCATTGAATCACCGAAACACATTCAAACCTATTACCTTTCTGATAATATGCTCATAACATTAGTAAAAAAACACTGGAAATTAGTTGTGCTGTTCTTTACAGTTAAATTATGGCAATTAAAACGAAGTAACTTACAAGATCTTTTAGATTCATCTTTTATATGCAACGAAATATATCTGTATGTAGATTACTCGTTTTAATTTCACAACGCGTATTCAGAGAGGCATACCTAGGTAAGAAGAAAACAGATAACCAATGATTACTACATTTTCTGATTATCAAATAAACTTTTCATCTTTAAACTGAATAGATAACAGAAATACTTTAAGATCTACTAATTTAAGATCTACAAGACTTGGAGCGTCATAAAGAGCATCTCAAACAAACTTCAGACCTCCATTAACAGTTGCCTTCGCTCAGTACTCAAGATCAGATGGCCAGCCAGAAACGATCAGTAACAGGGGTCTCTGGGAGCAAACCAACCAGGAACCGATTGTGAAACAAATAGGCAGGAAGAAATGAAATGGATTGACCATACGCTGAGGAAACCATCAAGTGACATCACTAGACAAGCCATTGCTCGAGTGAAACCCGAAAGGGAAGCGGAGAGTTGGTCGTCAGTGTGAGGGTGACTTGGAGGAGGTCATGTGGAGAGGAGATGAAAGCATGTGGGCAGACTTGGAGCGGAGTGAAAAAGTTGGCAGAAAACGGAAGGCAATGGAGGTGCGCAGCTGAAGCCCGATGTTCCTCTAGGGATTAAAGGATAAAATAATGATAATATTAATAATTTCAAGTTTGCCCGCGGGTTGATACCAGCTGCAGTACCAGTGAAAACCAGCGGAGGAGTACTGAACAGATGTCTCGTCTCAATTTGGAGCTCTTCAGTGGCATGCATCTACAGAGGTTCAAGCTCAGGACCTTTCGGTTACAATGCAAGCTGGTCTACCATTCAGCCACTGGGACTCGATCCAATGGTCCATGAATTTTAACTTTATCGATTCGTGAGTTTAGTGTGACCATCAGCCAGTATCACCGGTGAGTAGCTCTTCTCACTTGCACTTGCCTTGGTGGACCCTACTGGCCACGACTTCTCGCTAGAAATCTAGACAACTTTGCCCTGTAGCCAGTCACTGGCGAGCACTGGATTACTTACTATTCATATTTTCTCTGAGCTGAATGGTTAAGTTGCAAAGCTTTCACACTGTCTGCCTAGGTACAATATTTCCAGAGCATACTTCAATTTGAAGTGAGCTTTTAGAATCTCCCACAGGTTTGTCAGTCATCTCTCTGGGTAACCTAGGAAGTAACCGGTTGTTTCTAGATATTTTCCCACCCTTTAGTCTAATTTCGAACCACTTATTGATGTAATGAGTAATAATTCAAGACAAAATGAAAACTTGAGTTGCAACAGGATACCGACCAACGATTTCTGCATTACTAACCCGACAGCATATTATACGCCCAAGTTACTGTTTCACTGTAATCGCATTACAAGTTGTGTCCAGCTGTAATGCAAATGACTGATATGTGACTGTCGATTTGACTCGAACTTAGGTACCTGGAACATATTTTCTACATACCAGGCTATAAGCCACATATATTGCTAGAGGACTTATGATAATTAATATCCAGTTGCCCAGAATAAGTTAGACGAAATGGAACTAAGATTTGAGACCCAGTGCCTAAATCAACTAACTTACCTGTGTTTTATTTTAGATTACAATATATTTAAGTTCAAATTCCAACACCTACTAAGTTCAATCAAATCTGGTTGAAAATTAGAGACGTTACATTTTCGTTGCCATTCTATAGAAATTTCTCCCACTGGCTCACAATAGTTTCACCGTGGTATTTTATGTTTGCATGCCCAGGGAGAACTTAATGGATACATAAGCAGTATGGTGAAATCCATATAAGTCTTACTCGTTAGTCACTAATGAATACCAACGCGTGTATGGTTGAGAATTCCGATTTCTACTGAAGAATCTATTATGAGTCTATTTAATCTCCTTTACTCCCACTATGCTTAGATATAATGTTCACTGAGAAGCAATAAAAGGAATTTACAGGTGAAGAATGGTCATAACAAAGCGTTTTCACAACCACCTCCAAATTTTAAAACAGTATCCAAGCAAAGTAAATAGTTATCAAAACAGACTGACGGTAGCGCACATTCTACAGTTGCATTTAATGCACAGTTGGAGAAAATACACTGAAAAACGTTACTTTAACAGTCTGAGTTCAAAATAATTAAACCAGAATGAATTTAAACGGTGGGGTAAGTTCACTAAATGCTAAAATTAATCCTACAAACCTAAAATCTTGCCAGAGATGTCCGTCAAAAGTTGAATGCCCTACAGATATGTTGAGCGTAGTATTTTAACCAAAAAATGATGAGATTTAAAAGATTATATGAACTTAACGATATCTGTAAGTCAGTACAGTCAAAAAATAAGTGTAAGAGACTTTCCAAAGAGAGAAGAATATAAACAAAGTTATATATTTATACATCAGTTCATATCTCATGCTGCAAGAAACAAGTGAGAACAGCAAAGGAGTTATTAATGATTTTGACTTCAAATCATATCTGACAAAGCTCCAGTTCACGAAGTAATGCAATGTAGAAAACTGTGCTTAAGAATACGAGGAAAAACACTTCTGAACATTATGACGTAATATCTTTTTACACAGTGAATAACTGTCTATGTTACATACGAAATACAGATTACTGAACTTAATTATTTGATGTAACTCAGATTTGTGAGAAGTACTATTGGGAAAGTAACGACGAAATTTAAGTTCAGAAAGGTTACACTATAAAAATATGGAGAAGAATCGCCCAATTTGTGGTGGTACGATACAGACAATATGTTCCAATGGAATATTATTCTCACATATTCCCACAGTTCAACACTGTATTAGCAACAGAATACTATGCACATTTGAACATTATATTTCATGTCAATTAATGTAAACCAAAATCACACGCTGTGATTGGTTAAAGAATACAAACTGTATATATGTAAATAGCAGTTTGATCAGTTGAAAATATACGTTTGCTTCAATGTCTTGCCTTCTGCAGTTACAATATAACATATAGTGTATGGCTTATGGTGATTCGCTATTTCAAAGGAGGAATAAAATTAGAAATATCTCGATCACAAAATTTCGAAAAAATGGATAAAAGAGGATGAGAAAATGAATGAAGACTAATGAGAGAGCTCAGGATTTTGAAAAAGAACAAGTACATTAGAGTTACAACGTTCTACTTGAGACAGTATCACTCAGACTTTTTAATTATAAATTCCTAATATAACTAAGAATGTAACCAGATAATCTGCCAGGATTTACGGATTTTAAGGACAATTGTATTTAACTAACCATCCTTGGCTTTCTTCTGACCGGATATAAGATAACGCTTGTTCAAACCTGATATATAAGCCAAGCCTTTTAGTCGGTTCAGATTCATAACTAACTGATTGATGACTGGATTGACGCGGCTAGTTAATATTCCACATCTAAGTTACTTACATGATGATTCATTAGCCTGCAGGATATACTGATAGTTTCTTAGGTTCAGCTTTCTTGTTTCATACTACAGTAACACAGAATAGAAGTGAGGGGCACTATGTGCTAAAGCTGACGTTTAACACGAGATAATTTGATCGATTTGCTGAAAAATGATGGTACTTTTTGAGTTTTCCATCTACGTACTCATTAGTGCTAATACAACAACAAAGTGAAATGATTATCATTCCTCCTTTGGTAATTTGAAGCATCGAAGAAGTACTAATTACAAATGCACTTTGGAATAGTTGACAGAATTTTAGAAAACAAAACCAATCTCCCAAGGCAGAAAACAGTTTGACGCTGTCGCATAGCAGTGGACTGAAAAATTTGTCCTCAAGGAACAGTAGGCTTTAACCAAATTGCAAGTATTAAGGCATGATAAACCTAAAAAGAAAATGTATCTGCCTGATATTTCTTTGAAAGTGATATAAGCTTGGTGAGGGATGAGAATAACGTAGTGAAAACAAATCCTTTGGATAGTTACTTTATACTTAGAAGACTGATGAAATTTCAACAAGTTTACAAGAAGCTCGATATATTTTGTTTGACTACTGTTCACACCGTGGTATCCATATGCCTGCCACGGGGTGGACTAATTACACAAAAATTTCGCCCCTTTTATAAACATGAACAAGTCTGTGAAGATGTCAGATACACTGTTTACATTTATTAATAAGAGGTGTAAAGAATATTTCGGTTGTAAAAATCCGATTATGCACTAGTCAAATGAAGTACTCAACTCCTTTAAAATATATTGAAAGCCACGCCGGAAACAAACGATTCAGCTCTCAGTTGTGATGAAATGTAATAATTAACTTGTCACAAACATAATAATACTAACGGTTTTATTCCAAACAATAATTTGTATTGTGGAATTGTCGGTATTTCGATGAAGTTTCACCGCGTAGTTAGCATCAGTGCCCTAAGTTTCTGTAGTACGCTGGAAGACTGTCCCAGTGTCTGAAATGAACCCAAAGGCAGTGCTGACTTGGTACGTACAGAATTCCAACATGTTTTGCTTGGCGCAAAAATAACTAAATCTACGTTCTTTCAAACCCTTTACATGTGACCAAAATGTCGAAATGTATACCGGCATTTCATTTCCTCTATTGACCAAAAATTTGTGATAATTTGGTGGACTTCTGGGGAAAAATGATACAATTCCCCTAAATTTTTACACTGAGGTGCTCCAAAACTTTTGAGTGGTATATGTGACATGAAGATTTGTTCAGTCAGCATTTCCTTGGAGTATATATCCACTTTGAAAAAAGCCCCTTAGTGTATCTGACACAAAACTTATACCATTTAAAAACAAAACAGGGAAAATATCCTAATATACCACACAATACCTAAGAAGTTATTCAGATGATAGTAGCGCTCCTGTTAAAAAGTGCGGGATTACAACTCCCAATAATTTTGGGACTATATCCAATATCCAATATCGTTTCTACGAGCTAGTATAAACCAATTTGATTTCTTTGTGCTCGAGAGAAGATTTAATTATTTTGTGCTTGATACCTGATATTGCATTATTACAGTATAAAACGTGTTTTTCAACCATTTAAATGGAATAGGATGCTTGT